TTCACTGGGTTATTGTGAAGGTTTAGAATAGTCCTGCATTTCGTAAGCGCTCTGAAAGTTGTGTTATTTTTTAAATGTTAGGTAAGTTGGCCAGGCGAGGTGGCTCATGCCTGCAATTCCAGCACTTTGGGAGGCTGAGGCAGGTGGATCACCTGAGGTCAGGCATTTGAGACCAGTCTGACCAACATGGCGAAACCTCATCTCTACTAAAAGTACAAAAACTAGCTGGTGTGGCGGCGGGTACCTGTAGTCCCAGCTACATGGGAAGCTGAGGCAAGAGAATAGCTTGAACCTGGGAAGTGGAGGTTGCAGTGAGCCAAGATCGCATCATTGCACTCCAGCTTGGTCAACAGAGCAAGACTCCGTCTCAAAAAAAAAAAAAAAGAAAAAAGTTAGGTAAGTTAATGATCCATATTTTCTTGAAAATATGGAAAAACATATCATAAGAGAAGCATTTTTGTTTAATTCACCAAAACGTTATTGGGGGGCTATAAATTGAACACAGAGTCTTACAAGGCAAAGGAAATTTTTAAGAAGTGTATAAACATATCTTTTGATGCAGAGGAGTATGATAGGGTGATCAATAAAAGCCTTTCACGCAAAAAAATGTTACAGATCATATGACATCCCGGAAAAGACAAAACTAAAAAGACAGTCAAGAGTCAATAGTTGCCAGGGGTTACGAGGGTGGGGTGATGAATAGGTGGAGCATAGAGGATTCTTAGGGCGTGAAACTACTGTATATGGTACTACAATGGTGAATGCATGTCATTGTACATTTGTCAAAACCCATAGAATATAGAAGAGTAAACCCTGATGTCAATGAGGCGGGGAGGTTGTGCTTGCGTAGGGGCAGGGAGTCTATGGGACCTCTGTACTTTCCACTTAATTTTGCTGTGAACCTAAAACTGCTCTAAGAGATAAGGTTTATTAATTAGATATACTGTTATATACATATACATATATAGCAGTAGAATATTTATATTACTGGTATTTAATATTATATATGGAGAGAGACCAGTAGAATAATATGGGGCAAGTAAAATGGAACTATAAGTTCATAGAGCAGGAGGAACCATTTAAAAACCTAGACTATTGAGGAAGAGCTTGCTTATATGTTATTCAAAAGGATAATGGAGGCTAGGTGCAGTGGCTCACATTTGTAATCCCAGCACTTTGGGAGGCTGAGGTGGGAGGATCGCTTGAGCCCAAGAGTTCAAGACCAGCCTGAGCAATATACTGAGACCCCCATCTCTTAAAGTAAAATAAAATTTAAAAAAGGATAATGATGAGTATTGAGATGCTGCTAGTGTTTAGAGTCTATTGGAAACATTTTAAAGAGTAGTAAAACTTTTATTATTTCAATATCTATATTTACAACATGGTAGAAATTATATTCTGTGCAATAATTAAATGTATGATAAAAATTTAGATTAAACATAAACAGAGGAAGGAAAACACTTTTCAAAATTGTTTTTGAGTGTATACACGACAAAAAATTTGAAGATGGGCACTCAAGCACATAGTACATTTCTACACAAATGGTGGCTCCAGATAGCTGAAGAAGCCTAAGCAGCTGTAGGAGAGATCTCCAAATCCAGGGATGGTGGCCACCATCAGAGTGGTCCATTTGTGGGAAAATGGGTCACAGATATAGACCATATCAGGCTGTATTTCACAGAAAATCTTACTTCTTTTTGTTACTTTCTGATAAACCATATACTATATGGAAGGTACCATTGAGACTCCTTGTGATGAAAAGAACTCTGCTTGAATTGGGGATAAACTAAAATTAGAAGGGAAAGCAGACACGTTGTCCAGCCAGGCTGAAGAAAATCTAAGCTGGGACAGGGTGAGGTTGAGAGAGACAGCAGCGAGAATCTGGAACACAGGCATTTCCTAAATCAAACTTTCAGCACAGGACATTCAAGGGCGAATTTCAAATCTATGCCATGTTTATAAATTGTGTACTCTACATAATTGCCGGGTCCCTGGAATTCCCTACACTGTGCGAAACTAATCTCTTACTCTCTAAAACAAACCCAAGTCCTAAGCCCTCAACCCCTGTGTGCTCTTTCCTTCATAGTCATCAGAACCCTTATGACTCAGCCTTTTCAAGGAGGCGTTTAAAACATGATCTCGGACGAGTCAGCTCCACTCGAGCAACCTGCTCCTAACTCATTAATTTTCCTGACATGTCCCTTATGATGACTCGTCCATCTGTTTTGCAAATTGCACGTAGCTGGGCCTCTGTAGCTTTGTGGTTTTACATTCTGCGTATTCTCTAACAGTGACAGCTCCAGAATTTCTACATCAGACGAGGTTGGGAACAGGCAGTCTGGTTGGAGGAAGATATTCAGGGACCAGACTCAAAGTCCTGTTTGGACATGACACCCTCCTTTTATTATGACGAAGAGCACAGGCTCTGCAGCTGGACTGATAGTTTAATTCCTGACTGCATCACTTACTAACTTTGTGAGTTTGGCCAAATTACTTGACTTCTCCATGATTTAGTTTCCTTATTTATAAAATGAAGACAATGGTAGTACTGTGTCTCCGAGTCGTCGGACGCCAGTGCAGGATCCCGGTGACCAGATGGGATGAGAGGAAGCTCAGGAGATACCAGCTCGAAGGGCCCAAGTCCTGTTCCCACACTGCCAGTAGGAGGCACAAATTCCCCCTCAGAGGACGTTCGAGAAAGAAGAGGAGGAGGGGAGAGCCCTTGAAATGGGAAAAACAGTCCCGAGAGGGACATTAAATTTCGTATGGCCAAGTGTTTACCCAAAAGAGACCTGAAACATTGTTTTTGTTTTGTTTTCTTTTTTTGCTTTCTTTTTTTTTTTTTTTTTTTTTTTTTTTTGAGACGGAGTCTCACTCTGTCACCCAGGCTGGAGTGCAGTGGCATGATCTTGACTCACTGCAACCTCTGCCTCCCAGGTTCAAGCAATTCTCCTGCCTCAGCCTCCCAAGTAGCTGGGATTACAGGTGCCCGCCACTACGCCCAGCTAATTTTTTTTTATTTTTATTTTTATTTTTAGTAGAGACGGGGTTTCACCATGTTGATCAGGCTGGTCTCGAACTCTAAACCCGCCCACCTTGGCTTCCCAAAGCTCTGGGATTACAGGCATGAGCCACCAAATGTTTTTTCTTTTTTATTGTTTTTAATTCTCCCCCCCAAGCTTATTGAGGTATAATTGACAAATAAAAATTGTGTTTTCAGGGTGTACAATGTGTTGATTTGATGAGTATACACTGCGAAATAATTACCACTGTTGAACTAATGAACACATCATCAACACATATTTACCATTTTTTTCTGTGTGTGTTAGCAAATTTCAGATAGACAATACAATATTGTTAATTATAGTCTCCATGTGATTAAAGTCCCAGAACTCATTCATCTTATAACTGAAAGTTTGTACCCTTGACTGTTGTTTTTAATCTTTAAATTGAGGCTTAAAATATATGCAGTAAAATGTGCAGAGTGGACACATAAGTGCTCAAGTCGTTGAATTTTATTTAATTATTTAACATATTTATTTTAAATAAATAGAGACAGGGTCTTGCTATGTTGTCCAGGCTGGTCTTGAACTCCTGGGCTCACACAATCCTCCCACTTCGGCCTCTCAAGGTGTTGGGATTACAAGCATGAGCCACTGTGCCTGGCCAATTGTTGAATCTTAATACATGCATACACTCACCTACCCACTTTCCAGATCAAGATGTGTCAAGGCTTCACCCCAGAAGCCTCCCCCGCCTCCTCCCCATCAGTGCCACCCCAGAGGTAGCCAGTATTTTGACTTCAATCATCATCAGTTGATTTTTCCCTGTACTTGACTTTCATATAATCAGAACCATACAGTATGTCCTCCGAAAGAGACACTTTTAAAAGAAAATGAAATTTAATCACCAATATTTGGCAAGCTTAAACCCATATTCTCATTTCCAACCCCAGCCTTCCCTGCCATTGGTGGGAAAGAGTTCGAAAACTGAATTGGGTGAGTTATAGCAAGTCAAACTACATTTTTCCTTGCATATCTGAGTCACACGGGGTCACTTTCAATCAACTGCTAGTTGTGAGCCTAGAAATAGGGACCCAGGTGAGTTAGGGTCCCTGCCCTATGCTTAAGAGCCATTGCCAAAGATTGACTCAAGGAAATGGGCAGTTCCATGCCCCATCCTCTTCCCTACTCACTTCCGCTTGATACTAGAAGTGAGACTCACTCAATGTCCGGTTTCCCCACCCTGGGAGAGCTCACGGGGAATGGAGTGTGTCACTCACATAGCCACGTGCTGCTCTGCAGCTGGGAAGGAGCACTCTGGAGAAAACTGGGCGTGTGTCCTGATGCTCTTCTCACCCTCCAAATCCCCAGTGTCCCCCAGATAGACTGCTATTGACCTTTACCATCCATTTGTTTCCTTTTCTTTTCCTCCTTTTTTCTTCTACAAAGGCCTCCTGCTTTGAAAATGAGGCATACCCAGGGAAAACAGGTTTCAGGTCAGCTCTGGTTCAAAGGGTGGGTCCCTTCCACTCCGACAAGTTCGATCCCTTCATTCTGCCTCTCTCCCTGCCCCTCCTCGTGTGTGCGCCCTCTGGTCTTACCGACTGGGCTCTCTCCTCCGCCTTGATTCCTGTAGGGTACATTTTTCCAAATGGCCCTGCAGAAAGCACAGTGCGGAGATGCCCCTCCCTGGAGAGGGAGGACCCAAAGCTCTGGCCTCTCCTACTCAGTATCAGCTATAAATGCCACAGATACGCTTGCGAGGAAAAAAGAAGAAAAACAAGAAGCCAAACTGTGGAACAATCTGGGGGCTCCCTGCAACCATCCCACCTGCCTACAAGGCTTACCCTGGCAGTGGCTGGCCTTTGGGTCTTTTTGTGCAACTTTATTTTCTATCAAGGCCCAGGGGGTTTGCCCCTTGTCTCTCTGCCTCTTTGACCTATTCTTCCTTTGGAACCCAGGTATCTAAATGACAACTTCTATGTGCATCATTTAGAGATGAGAAGAGGAAACATTTCTCCAGCCTTCTGGTTCCTGTGGCTGCTTCTCTTTGGACTTCTGGGACCCAGTAAGTTACTTAGCAGTTAAGGAAGGAGAGGGGCATGGAGGCCACATAAAGCCTGAAGGAGATGGGGGATCCCCTGTCTAGGCATGACTCTTCTTCCAGAAACAATGATGATTCTTTTTTTTTTTTTTTTTTTTGCCCATTTCTGCAAAAGCCAGTACTGATCCCAATTCCATTGACCATGACTCTGATGCTATCTTAGAAGCAAATCTGTATTAGTCTCCCCGAGCTGTGACTGTGAGCACAAGTTGTGGGGCGGTGAGGGGCGGTGCTGGGGAAATGAGGTGGGGGTGAGACTTTTACTTTCCTTTGCATCTTGGATAAAAGTTTTGTTTTTAACTGGAAAATTCTAGTTCCAATAGCATTCTTAATTCCAAATTAAAACCAGGATCTCAGTCTAAAGTCAAGTAAAAATCCTTCAATCCTTCTTTGTTTTCCATAGGTTATCGGGGTACAGGTGATATTTGCTTACATGAGTAAGTTCTTTAGTAGTGATTTGTGAGATTTTGGTTCACCCATCACTGAGCAGTATACATTGCACCCACCCTATTGGTAGTGTTTCATCTCTCGTCCCTCCCCCGTCCTTCCTCCCTAGAGCCCAAAGTCCATTGTATCATTCTTATGCCTTTGAGTCCTCATAGCTTAGCTCCCACATATCAGTGAGAACATACGATGTTTGGTTTTCCTTTCCTGAGTTACTTCACTTAGAATAATAGTCTCCAATGTCATCCAGGTCGCTGCAAATGCTGTTAATTCATTCCTTTTTATGGCTGAGTAGTATTCCTTCATATATATATGCCAGTTTCTTTATCCACCTGTTGATTGATGGGCATTTGGGTTCCATGACTTTGCAATTGTGAATTGTGCTGCTATAAACATGTGTGTGCAAGTATCTTTTTCGTATAATGACTTTTTTTCCTCTGGGTAGATACCCAGTAGTGGGATTGCTGGATCAAATGGTAGCTCTACTTTTAGTTCTTTAAGAAATCTCCACACTGTTTTCCATAGTGACTGTACTAGTTTACATTCCCACTAGCAGTGTAGAAGTGTTCCCTGATCACCGCATCTGCACCAACATCTACTTTTTTTTTTTTTTTTTTTTGCTTTAATCCTTCTTTGGATGCTGCCTGATTCCAAATCCATGTCTAATCCCCTGAGAATTTCCTTGGTAGGAACAAATTGGAGGTCAGCCACTGAGGGGTTGGCTCTGGCATTGGATCAGAGGTGGCTGTGAAAGGAAATAGCCCAGGGGAGAAGTGAACTGGGCTCCGTGTGATTCCAACAGACTGTCTGAGAAAGTTCCGTTCAGTCCTGTCTTTGATTTCTTACATCAACGTATCTTCCCTAATTATAAGACACCAGGTTAATCAGCTTATCCATTCCATTGCCTTTACTGTAGGATAGCACTTCAAGAAGCGGGAGGTGTGGTTGAAAGAGAAGGTCTAGGTTGGATGATGTGGAGGATTTGGAGTGCTTCCCCCTTCTTCCTCAATATGTGTCTGTTTCCTGCACCCTACTCTGGATTCGCTCCCTCAGCCGCTTCAGCACTTCTTTTTCTTCCCTTTCCTGTTGCCTTCATCCTGAATGCTTCAGCTGTTCTTCACTACCCATGCCTTCCAGATCCACCCGTCGCCTGTCCTAATCCCGAACTCCAGTCCTATCTGTCTGATTTTAAGCAAGAGTCCCCTTACCTCAGAAGAAACTGTCATTCATGTAGTCATTCAACAGACATGTATAGAGCTCCTCCTCTGGGCCAGGCACTGCTGCGTGCTAGGCCACGGTGAGGAATGGAGTGGGAAATGCCATGGTCTTGGCCCCCGTGGAACTCTTGGTCTACTGTAAAACATAGACTTAAATAATATTCCCTTACAAAAGGGAACAAGCATGCAAGTGCTGACAGGCACCTCCTCTTTTCCCACCACTAGGTCTTTAAAGTGACCCACTGTCTCTCCTGTAGCCCCATTACATTGGATTAGCAAGGACCAACTCCTCCATTTGAACGCTGGGTGCCTTCTCATCCTCCTGCCGTCTCAGGGGCTTTGCTCAGTGCATTTCTCCTTTCCCTCCCATCTCACTTTACCTTTCTTGAATCCTTTTCATCAGCATCCAAACAAGCTCAGTTCTGTATGCACAAGTATCATCCAAGGAGATGATTAAAAACTTGGCTTTCCAGGTCCTGACACCCCACCAAGCAAGATCTTGATTCAGTAGGCTTGGTGGGATGGCGTGAGTTCCTCAGACAGTGTGACCCCAGAGGTCCCTGGACCAAACACTGTTTGAATGATGTCCATCCTAACGTCCCCGCATCACTCCTCAGCCACCCCGCCTCTCCCTCCACTCTCCTTCTTCACCCCCATTCTTTTTTTTTTTGGAGATGGAGTCTCACTCTGTCACCCAGGCTAGAGTGCAGTGGCGCAATCTTGGCTCACTGCAACCTCCTCCTCCCAGGTTCAAGCGATTCTCCTGCCTCAGCCTCCCGAGTAGCTGGGACTACAGGCGCACACCGCCACACCCAGCTAATTTTTTGTACTTTAGTAGAGATGGGGTTTCACTGTGTTGCCCAGGCTGGTCTTGAACTCCTGAGCTCAGGCAGTCTACCTGCCTCATCCTTCCAAAGTGCTGGGATTACAGGTGTGAGCCACCATGCCCAGCCCCTCACCCCCATTCTTGAAGGCCTTCCCCACATTTGCTATGTCACTTGTCACTTCCCATTCACTTGTTGATTTTATTTTATTATATTAGGTAGTGCATGTAAGTAGTTTTAAAAAAGAAAAACTTGTAGTCCTACAAGGCTTCTCATAAAACTTCAGCCCCTGACTCCCTTTCCCCAACTACTTCTTACTCTGAGTCCTGCTTCCCAGGGTTCCTGTTGGCATTTACCTTCATACTACATTTATCTATTTATTTAGAGACAGGGTCTCGCTCTATCACCCAGGCTGGAGTGCAGTGACACCATCATAGCTCACTGCAGCCTGGTACTCCTGGGCTCAAGGAATCCTCTCACCTCAGCTTTCCAAAGCACTGGGATTGCAGGCCTGAGCCATTGCACCCAGTCATAAATTATCTTACTACCATTACTTCTTTGTTGGTTAAGGTTTTTTTTCTTCCCTGCTTCGGGAATGATTTATTGTCTTCCTTCTAATGAAAAGGAAGATTTAGGTTAGTCTACTCCCTCTGTACACTTATGTCTCACGTTCCTGCTCACAATTCTCCCCAAATGATTGTACCAAATTTTTGGTGTTAAATTTGCATTTAGTGTTTACATTATGATAACTATAAATGTTACCTCTAGTAACATTTATAACTGGGTCATATAATTGCATTGTGATGACATTATAAAAACTATAAATGTTACCTCCAGTAACATTTCTAACTGGATCATATAATTGTATTGTGATGACCATCCGTTCTTGTAATTTTTGTTTTTCTAGATATTAACAATAGCCTCATTTTTAAAATTTCCATAGTTTTCTTCATATATACCATTAATTCATCCCCAAACCTCTACCAGAATTATCCCTGTCTTTTCAATACACATGAGGCAATCTATCAGTTTCACTTTTTTCCCTTGAGCAATCCCATTTGGAAGCCTCTGTCCAACCAGTACTGGTTACTTGCTAGGTCTCTTGTCCTGCAATTTGTATTCGCAACGTTCTGGAAATTCCCTTTTTTCCCTTGTAAATTCCTATCTTTTTTCTGGATTTATTTTTCCATCTCAGGGCAGCACTTTCTCTAGAAGCTTCTTGAGAGAGAGTTTATGGTGGAAAATTATTTTAAAACCTTATGCAATGTTAGGGTAATGCTAAGCTGCTGTAACAAGGAGATCGCGAAAGTGACTTTGAAAAATAAACAAGTTTATTTTTCTCCCTTGTACCAGTCCTAAGATAAGTATTATAGGATGGTGGGAACTCTGCTCCATGCAGTCATTCAGGGATCCTGGGTGAATATGACTGTTCCATTTTCAACATATGGTTTCCAGTGTCATCATCATTTCAGCCCAAGGAGAGGGCAGAAGAACAGTATTTTGTATTATTTTATGATACAGTCAGTCAAGGTGCAGCCACAAGAGGAGAGGCTCACAGGCCCTAGAGACAGGAGGCATGGCACTGCCATGCCGGACCACCTGAGAAAGACACCAAGGTAGTCAGGAGGCAGAAGACAGGAGTGAAGGAAAGGTTTATTTAGGTCTTTCCTTTTATTGGGGTTTCTGTGGGAAAGGCAAGGAAAGGCAAGGCGAACAGTTTAGGATTGGCTGGTTTGAATAATTCCTGTGTTCTTTGAGCTATATAGCTGATTACTACCTAGTTGCCTGGTACTTGGCTTTGGAATGACTAAGGCAGATAAATATTGTTTCCTGTAGTATATGGGCCAGATAGAGGACCTATGGCTCTGGAATGGTTAGTTTGCATATCAGCTCATGCTCCTGGCTGGGCCCTTTGCTACTTCTAAGAATTGGCTAGCCTGGAAGGCACTATCTCTCCCTAGCTAGAAAAGTTTGTTAAGATATGAAAACATGATAATAAACAGAAAATAAAAATATATATACAGGCAGAAATCAAGGAATAGGTATTTACTCTTAAATAAATGAAATGGAAATTAATATGTATTCCTTCCCTTTAGGGGCCTCTGACTAGGGCTTACACATGTAGCCCTACCTAGCTACAAGAGAGGTTGAGAAATGTAACTTAGCCATGTGCCCAGGAAGAAGAGAAAAATGGCCCTAGCTGTCCATAGACTTTATATGTCTGAAAATGTCTTATTCCACCCTCACATTTGACTCATAGTTTAACTGGTTATAGAATTCTAGGATGGATACGATTTTTCCTCAGGATTTTGAAGGCATTGATCCACTGTTTCTAGATTCTAGATTGTGAAGACTGATATCATTTAGTTTACTGACCTCTTGTAAGAGACCATTTTTTTTTCTTCTGGATGATTTCAGATTTTTAAAACTACTGTTCTAAAATCTCATGATATGGTGCCATAGTATGGATTCTTCTTTCATTATGTTAGGAATTTGTACAGTACAAAGTTATATCAGTCAGTTCTGGAAAATTTTTCTTGCTTTTTTTTTCTTTGATAATTGCTTCTCATCCACTTTCTCTGTTCTGTCTTTCTGAAAAATCTTATGATTTGGATGTTTGACCTCCTGGACTGACACTAATTTTCTTGTATTTCTTCTTCTGTCTTCCAATTCTGTCATTTTATTTTTCTTTTGGGGAGATTTCCTCAGCTTCTAAAGTCTTCAAATCCTTCTAGTGAATTTTGAGGGTTTTTTAAAAATTTCAAAGAGATCTTTTTTTGTTTACAATCATTTTTAAAATGGCTTCTTTTATTTGTTTGTTGTTGTTGTTGTTTGTTTGTTTGTTTTCACTCCTTCCCATGAAGGAGCATCCAGTAAGGTAGAAAGAAAACTCTAAAAAGTGAATCAAGGAAGTCAAAAGAATAGAGTGGCTCTAGAAAAATGTGGTAGTTAGCTGAATATCATTTAGATTACTGACCTTGTGGTGCTATACTTTCTCTTATATTGCTGAGGACATTTGAAGTTGGTTTTGCTATTTGCACTGTCTCAGTTCTCTCTGACTTTGCTTCATAGGGATATTTGTTTTGGTCTCTGTATTTCAAGCTAGAGATTTTCCTCAAATATCTGGTAATCCCAGAATGTCCTTTGCATTTGAAAGTGAGGCAACAATATGATGCCTGGAAGCTTTGTGTGCAGGGGTAGGGCATGTCAGCTGGCGAACTTAGCTTTAGGGTAACTTAGCAGAGACGTGGCAGTTTTGATTGGGAAGATCCTTGAAATTTCAGTATCTAGTGTTGTCTAATTTCTTTCCACAAGAAGAATTCTCCAGATCCTGTCTAGAGCATACTAGCATAGCTGCGGAAGTGCTGGAAGCTGAGTAAGGGAAGAGGTAATGAGGGTTTTACAGTTCAGGGTGTAAGCATTTCCTTAATTGCACAGTTTCAGTAAAACTCACTTCTGCCCTCAGCAGTGCCTGAGATCACTGGTCTAGAATTTCTTTGGTTTCAATATCTCCAGAGATAAAATCCTAAGCTGTTGTAAGGGAGAGAGGTGTAGTCATCCAACTCCTTGAGTGGAAGGAGGGATCTGGAGCTGAGAGACAGTCCCTAGCTACGTTGTATTTCAACCATCTTTCCTGTATTTAGTCACATGCCACACCCAAAGCTTCAGAGGAACCTGGCTGCAACTCCTGAATCTTTCCAGGATTCCAAATTAATAATTTACCAGTAGTTGACTTACTCTCACCCCCAGTGGAGGCCTGTATGTTGAAGCTTTCCCTTTGGAGAGTTACCACTCATCCTTCTGCTATTATCTTTAAAAAAAACACATTTATCTCCTCTGCTGTTGTCATCTCTCCATCCTTTGTCCTTGTGGAGGTATGTCTTTTGTTATTTCTCTACTTTTTATTCTTCTATGAAATCCGTAAGCCTCGATATATACTTATTTATACTTTTATTCATTCCAATTGGGGGCTATCCCATCATGAAAATCTGTTTTCAATAAACTAAACACTCACTTCCATATTGTCTCTGAATCTAGTGGACGTGGCCCAGGCCGTATCTTACTTGATCTCTCTGCAAAAATCAATTCAGCTAACTACCATATTTTTCTAGAGCCTCTCTATTCTCTTGACTGCCTTGATTCACTTTTTAGAGTTTTCCTTCTATCTTACTGGATGCTCCTTCTCAGTCTCATTCATTCGCTTCTCCTCCTCTATCTGAATGACGCAGCAGCCAGAGCTTGGTCTAGCGCCCACTTCTCCAACTATACCCTCCCAGACAAATGATCTCAGTCAGCCTCAAGGCTTTAAATACCATGCATATTTAAATAACCTCCAGTTTTATATCTTTTGTTTTGATTTCTCCTCTGAGAACTAAGTGCAGGTTTCTAACTGCCAACAAACAGTCTCCTGGATATCTAATGGGCACAAAAAGTTCAAAATCTCTAATATTTCCAACCTCCACTTCATCCCTATTCGTTCAGATAAATAAAACAAATTTCCAACTCTCTGTGTAAGCCCCAAAGCCAGAAGTTGTTCTTGACTTCCTTTCCTTTTCTAATTTCAAAACATAGCTTGTATTCATCCACTGAAATGTATCTTCCCTGCTACCATCCTAGTCCAAGCAATGATTACTACTCTTAACCAATTTTCTGTTATCACTCTTGCCCTCCTACATGCCAGTTTTCACACAGCATGCTGAGTGTGATTTTTTAAAAACATAAATCAGTTTTATTTTCTACTTTCTCTTCCCTTTCTGAATGATTAAGCCCCAGATCATCAGGTGAGGCAGAGGAAAGCAGATATCAGGGTTGGACAGAAGGGGAGACAGCAGTGGCCGAGAGAAGGATATAAGAAACTAAACTGGGGCCGGGTGCGGTGGCTCACACCTGTAATCCCAGCACTTTGGGAGGCTGAGGTGGGCAGATCACCTGAGGTCAGGAGTTAGAGGCCAGCCTGGCCAACATGGTGAAACTCTGTTTTTACTAAAAATACAAAAATTAGCCGGGCATGGTTGTGCATGCCTATATTTCCAGCTACTCAGGAGGCTGAGGCAGGAGAATCCCTTGAGCCCAGGAGGTGGAAGTTGCAGTGAGCTCAGATCGCACCACTGCACTCCAGCCTGAGTGACTGAGCAAGACTCCATCTCAAAAAAAAAAGAAAAAAGAAAGAAAGGAAACAAACTAAATTGGGTGAAGTGGACTTCTCCACAGAGTGGCAGCCTGGCATGTGTTGTCAGAATCTTGTGAGGGTAAGAGGGAGTATGGGGTGGAGGGAGTATGGGCTGAAAGTAAATGAATAGAATACCAGTGATTTTGTGAGACAATATTTTGTCTACAATAAGTGTAACTGAAGTTCCAGGAAAGGAACTGAAAAAATATTTAAAGAAATGGTAGCTGGAAAAATTAAATTTGATGAAAACTATAAAATCACAGATCCCAAGACCTCAACATATATCAAGCAAAATAAACTTTAAAAAATCATACCAAAGTACAATGTAATCAAATAACTAAAAACCAGTGATAAATGGGAAATCCTAGAACCAGCTAGAAAAGAAAAGACACATTATATAGAGAGGAGCAAAGACAAGCATGATAACTGACTTCCTGTGAGAAACTGTGACAACCAGAAGCTCAAGAAGCAACATCATTAAAATACTGAAACAAAAAATACTCTTTCAACCTAGAATTACACGGAGTAAAAATATTTTCAATATGAAGATGAAATGAAGGCTTTTCTAGACAAGCAAAAACTGGAAGACTTTACCTCCCGGAGACTGACTTTTTTTTGTTTGTTTGTTTGTTTTTGATATGGAGTTTTGGTCTTGTTGCCCAGGCTGGAGTGCAATGGCACAATCTTGGCTCACTGCAACCTCCGCCTCCCGGGTTCAAGTGATTATCCTGCCTCAGCCTCCCGAGTAGCTGGGATTACAGGCATGCGCCACCATGCCCGGCTAATTTTGTATTTTTAGTAGAGATGGGGTTTTTCCACGTTGGTCAGGCTGGTATCGAATTCCCGACCTCAGGTGATCCGCCCGCCTTGGCCTCCCAAAGTGCTGGGATTACAGGCACGAGCCACCGCGCCTGGCCCAAATGGCTGCCTTCTTATCCTTCAGATCTCAGTTCATATGTCAGTTCCTCAGACAGACCTTTTCTGACTCTAGTACCTAAAGCAGCACCACTGCTTTCTTTAACAGCACCTGAGCCAATGTGTATTTATATGTTTTTATTTTGTATCTCTCTTCTTTACTAAATTATAAGCCCATATCTCTTTTGCTAACAGGAGTATGCCCAGAGTTTAGTAAAATTCCAGGTACATATTAAGCCCTCAATATCTGAATAAATAAATGAGCAAGCAGTACTGAGTATATGTTAAAGTAATGCTATACTAAACCTGCAAATTCATCCTTAATCCATTCCCCACCTTATTTATCCTCCACCTCAGGCTCTGAGAATACCACAGACTTCACAAAAGGCTCTGACACCACCACAGCCTCCATCACAGGCTCTGAGACCAGCACGGCCTCCACCATGGCCTCTACTATCACCTTAACTGCAGGCTCTAAGATCACCACAGACTCTACCACAGGCTCTGAGACCAACACGGCCTCCACCACAGACTCAGGGACTACTAGAGCCTCCACTAGGACCTTCACCACAGGCTCTGATACAACCACAGCCTCCACTGCAGGCTCTGAAACTATCGTGGCCTCCACCGCAATCTCTGAGACCACAACATCCTCTACTATAGCCTCCACTACAGTCCCTGAGACTACCATGGCCTCCAGCACAGCCTCCACTGCTGGCTCTGAGACAACGATGGCCTCCACCATAACTTCTGAAACCACCATGGCCTCCACCACAAGTTCTGAGACCGCCACCTTCTCTACCACAGGCTCTGAGACCACCACCACTTCCATTGCAGGCTCTGGGGCCACTAAAGTCTCTACCACAGGCTCTGAAATCACCACAGCATCTACTGCAGGTTCTGAGACCACCTCCTCCACCTCCACGGCAGGCTCTGAGGCCACCACAACCTCAACTGCATACTCCAAGGTGATCACGGCATCCAGCATGAGCTCTGAGACCACTATGGCCTCCACTGTAGGCTCTAACACCACCACAGCCTCTACCACAGGCTCTGAGACCACTACAGTCCCTATTAAAGCCTCTGAGACCACTACCGCCTCTACAGCAGGTTCTGAGACCACCACCTCCACCCCCACAGGCTCTCAGACCACCACAGTCTCTATTTCAGGTTCTGAGATCACCACCACCTCCACAGCAGGATCTGAGACTACCACAGTCTCTAGTGCAGGCTCTGAGACAACCACCATCTTCACTGCAGGCTCTGAGACCACTACAGTCTCTACCACAGGCACTGAGACCACCATGGTCTCCACCATGGGCTCAGAGATCACCACAAACTCTACTGCAAGCTCTGAGACCACCACAGTCTCCACCGTGGGCTCTGAGACCACCACAACTTCTACTGCAGGCTCTGAGACCACCACAGTCTCCACCATGGGCTCTGAGACCACCATAACCTCTACTTCAGGCTCTGAGACCACCACAGTCTCAACTTCAGGCTCTGGAACCACCATGGCTTCTACCACAGGCTCTGAGACCACCACAGCCGCTACTGCAGATTCTGAGACCACTGCAGCCTCTACTACAGGCTCTGAGACCACCATGGCATCCATCATGAGCTCTGAGACCACTACAGCCTCTACCACAGGCTCTGAGACCACCAAGATCTCCAATGCAAGCTCTGAAATGACCACCGTCTTCACTGCAGGCTCAGAGACCATCACAGCCTCTACCATGGGCTCTGAGACAACCATGGCATCCACTATAAACTTTGAGACCACTGTAGTCTCTATACCATAGGCTCTGAGACCACCACAGCCTCTACTGCAGACTCTGAGACCACAACAGCCTCTACTGCACATTCTGAGACCACTGCAGCCTCCACCATGGGCTCTGAGACCACCACAGTCTCAGCTGCAGGCTCTGAGACCACAGTCTCCATTGCAGGCTCTGAGACCACTGCAGCCTCTACTGCAGGCTCTGAGACCACTGCAGCCTCTACTAAAGATTCTGAAACCAACATAGCATCTACTGAAGATTCTGAGAGTACCTCAGCCTCTACTACAGGGTTTGAGACAACCACAGCCTCTACTACAGGGTTTGAGACAACCACAGCCTCTACTACAGGCTCTGAGACCACTATGACATCCACCATGGGCTCTGAGACCACTATGGCCTCTACCATAGGCCCTGAGACCACCAAAGTTTCCACTGCAAGCTCTGAGATGACCACAGTCTCTGCTGAAGGCTCTCAGGCCACCACAGCCTCTACCACAGGCTCTGGGACCACCACATACTTTAATACCAGCCCTGAGACCACCACAGCCTCCACCATGGGCTCTGAGACCACCACAGATTCTACCACAGGCTCTGAGACCACCACAGCCTCTACTGAAGGCTCTGAGACCACTACAGTCTCTGCCACAGGCTCTGAGACCACCACAGTCTCTACTGCAGGCTCTGAGACCACTACAGTCTCTGCCACAGGCTTTGAGACCACCACAGTCTCTACCACAGGCTCTGAGACCACTACAGTTTCAACCACAGGCTTGGAGACCACCATCACTACCACTGAAGGCTCTGAGATGACTATAGTCTCCACCGCAGGTGCTGAGACCACCACAGCCTCTACTGAAGGTTCTGGGACCACTGCAGCCTCCACTGCAGGCTCTGAGACCACCACAGTCTCTACTGCAGATTCTGAGAACACCACGGCATCGACTGCAGATTTTGAGAGCACCATGGCCTCTACTGCAAGCTCTGAAACCACCACAGCCTCTACTGAAGGCTCTGAGACCACTACAGTCTCCACCACAGGCTTGGAGACCACCATGGTCTCTACCACAGGCTCTGAGACTACCATCACCTCTACTGAAGGCTCTGAGACTACTACAGTATCTGCCACAGGCTCTGAGACCACCACAGTCTCTACTGAAGGCTCTGAGACCACTACACTCTCCACCACAGGCTCTGAGACCACTAAAGTTTCTATCACTGGCTCAGAGACCACTACCACTTCTACTGAAAGCTCTGAGATGACTACAGTCTCCATCACAGGCTCTGAGACCACTAAAGTTTCTATCACTGGCTCAGAGAACACTGCCACTTCTACTGAAGGCTCTGAGATAACTACAGTCTCCATCACAGGCTCCGAGACCACCACAGCCTCTACTGAAGGCTCCAAGACCACCTCAACCTCTACTACAGGCTCTGAGACCACCACATCCTCTACTACAAGCTCTGAGACCACTATGGCATCCACCATGGGCTCTGAGACCATTATGGCCTCTACCATAGGCTCTGAGACCACCAAGGTCTCCACCGCAAGCTCTAAAATGACCACAGTCTTCACCGAAAACTCTAAGACCACCATAGCCTCTACCACAGGCTCTGAGACCACTACAGTCTCCACTCCAGGCTTTGAGACCATCCCAGCCTCTACAGCAGGCTCTGAGACCACCATCACCTCTACTGAAGGCTCTGATGCCACTACAGTCTCTACCGCAGGCTCTGAGACCACCACAGCCTCTACGGAAGGCTCTGAGACCACTACAGTCACTACCACAGGCTCTGAGACCCCAACAATCTATAACACAGGCTCTGAGACCACCACAGTCTCTACTGCAGGCTCTGAGACAACCGCCACCTCTACTGAAGGCTCTGAGACCACCACAGCCTCTACTGAAGGCTCTGAGAACACTACAGTCACTACCACAGGCTCTGAGACTCCAACAATCTATAACACAGGCTCTGAGACCACCACAGCCTCTACTGCAGGCTCTGAGACAACCGCCACCTCTACTGAAGGCTCTGAGACCACTACAGTTTCTACCACAGGCTCTGAGACCACCACGACCTCTACCACAGGCTCTGTGATGACTACAATATCTACCACAGTCTCTGAGACCACCATGGTCTCTACCATAGGCTCTGAGACCACCACATCTTCTACTGCAGGCTCTGATGCCACCACCACCTCTACTGAAGGCTCTGAGACCACCATGGCCTCCACAGCAGGCTCTGAGATCAGCACAGCCTGTACCACAGGTTCTGAGACCTCCACATCCTCCAGTGCAGGCTCTGAGACCAACACTGCCTTCATCATAGGCTCTGAGACCACCATAGCTTCCACTGCAAGCTTTGAGCCCACTGCAACTTCCCTCACAGGCTCTGAGACCACCACAGTCTCTATCACAGCTTCTGGGGCCACTGCAGCCTCCATCACTGTCTCTGCCACCACTTTTGTATCCACCAAGGCCACTGACGTTTCTATTCAGCCAATCACCAACACAGCTATGTCAGGTACTAACCCCCAGGTCTTCTTTGAGCCCACACATTTTAACTCCAGTGGCAACCACCAGCTGTTCACCTGTTTCTATCATCTCTGCCCTGGTTCAAATCAAGCCACCACACAGTTAGATATAATTTCCTCTTCTAGGCTGGGCACAGGGGCTCATGCCTGTAATCCCAGCACATTGGGAGGCCGAGGCAAGCAAATCACGAGGTCAGGAGATTGAGACCATCCCGGCTAACATGGTGAAACCGTGTCTCTACTAAAAATACAAAAAATTAGCTGGGTGTGGTGGTGGGCGCCTGTAGTCCCAGCTACTCAGGAGGCTGAGGCAGGAGAATGGTGTGAATCTGGGAGGCGGATCTTGCAGTGAGCAGGAATCACACCACTGCACTCCAGCCTGGGCGACAAGAGTGAGACTCCATGTCAAAAAAAAAAAAAAAGAAAAAAAAAATTTCCTCTTCTAGAATCCTAATTGCCTCTACTCTGGTCTCTCCTTTTTTTTTTTTTTTTTTAACTGCCCACCACTTCCACTGCAATCAGAATCACAAAATATGATAAACCACAAGTGCATTATATCTGTCACATCTTCCTCCAGCAAGCCCGCCTCAACTCTGCTGGCCCATCACAGTTTTGTGAAATGCTCCCAGTTCGGTGCCAAGTAGATTATCTCTATTCAACCTATCATCTCTGACACCGCCACCTCCTATCGATATATTGACCCTAGTCCAGAGGCTGGCAGACCACATGTCATGGGTCACGTCTCACCCGTTACCTGGTTTTGTAAAGTTTTATTGGAACATAGTCATGCCCATTCATTTACTGTTTGTCTCCAGCTGCTTTTCCGCTTTTCAGTGTATCTGCAACAGAGACTGCCTGGCCCAAAAGCCTAAAGTATTTGCTGTCTGAACCTTTACAGAAAATATTTGACAACCTTTGCTCCAGTCTGAGACCAAAAAACTTTGTTCATTCTCTGGCACTTGCCATCAGCAAGCTGGTTGCATCTGATTCTATCCTCTTGGTTCTAAGCACACTCACCTCTATTCTGGTCACTGGTGCTGTTTGTGACCCTATTTTAACCACTTCTGACCTAGGCACACCCATTGCTACCTAAGCTGCCACCACCGCCTCTGCTGTGTTGATTCTCGCTCGCACCTGTCTGAGCCCCCCGCTCCTGTCCCTGTGAGCAGCTTCTCCACTTGGGTCAGGTCCTCCCACATCTGCCCAAGCACACTCACCCCACCTTTGCTGGCCACCACAGTGTGGTAGATGATGTCACCTCTGTCCCAGCCACGGCCACTGGCATGCCTGTGAGTGAATCCAATTCTGTCATCTCCTCCTCCAGCTCCCTCCTTACGCCCAGTGATCACAGTCACAAGAGAAGCAGGGCCTGCCGCTTTGTATACCAGTCTGCCCACTTATTTTATTTTATTTTATTTATTTATTTTTAATTTTTTTTCCATAAGTTATTGGTATACAGGTGGTATTTGGTTACATGAGTAAGTTCTTTAGTGGTGATTTGTGAGATTATGGTGCACCCATCACCCGAGCAGCAGACACTGCACCATATTTGAAATATTTTATCCCTCGCCCCTCCCACTCTTCCTCCAAAGTCCCCGAAGTCCGCTGCATCATTCTTATGTCTTCCTATTTTCGAAGCTTAGCTCCCACATATCAGTGAGAACATACGATGTTCAGTTTTCCATTCCTGAGTTACTTCACTTAGAATAATAGTCTCCAGTCTCATCCAGGACACTGCAAATGCTGTTAATTCATTCCTTTTAAACAGCTTGCTGTCTTCTATTTGGATGGCAGCTTCCGAAGTCAAATAGATCTTCCACTTCTGAACCCATCATGATCACATTGCCTCAACCTTCTGCCTCCTCCATCACCAACCCCACCAGGTGACACATTCTACTTCCTTCTCTGTACAACACCCACCTCCATTCTGGGGACATGGCCACAGCAGAATCGCTTTCTACCATCTGTCTTCCCCCATCACCCCTCTCCTGAGCCACCTCCACCATAGGTTTGTTAGATTCATACTCCTCTGTTCTAAGCACCCCCATTCCTCTTTAATCATCTCTGCTACAAATGCATCATCTTGTGTGACCTGTTTCATAGGCACCAAGACCACTGGAACCAGACCCACCGCCTCCAGCTCTGTCACCATGACCTCTGGAATGGACTCCACGGCCTCTGCTGCCAGCCATATTGTGCCAGGAACAGTCCCAAACACCTCTGGCCTGGATACATCTACTAGGGGAGCATCATCTACCACTTCAGCCCCTGGCGTCAGGACCACCACAGGATCCACCCATGAGCCAACTAGCAGCACCTCCCAGGAAACAGGCCCAGTGTCCATGGGCACAAACACAGTTAGCATGAGCCACACGCCCACAAATGTGATCAAACCAAGTGGATATTTACAGCCCTGGGCTATCATCCTCATTTCCCTGGCTGCAGTTGTGGCTGGTGTTGGATTGGCAGTAGGACTGAGTTTTTGTCTGGTGAGTAACCAGGGTGGGTTCATAGGGGAGCCTGGAGAGAAGGCAGGTCTTAATGGTGGGGGAAATCATGTCAGCAGTGCTTTGGAAAAATCCAGAATGAGAAAGGGGAGTAAGTCGGTGCACTCAGAAGGAAAGAATCACCTAGCCTGATATAAGGATCACAGCGAATCCTTAAGTCAGAGAAAGTGAGAAGCAAAGTAGACAAAGAGGAGAGAAAAGATGAAGTTGGGGCCAAAGTGAAGGGAAATACTGAGAGAACAAAGGAAATACTGAGAGAGAACAAGGAGGACATAAACATAAAGCAAGAAGCAGCTGGGCGCAGTGGCTCACGCCTGTAATCCCAGCACTTTGGAAGCCCAAGGTGGACAAATCACTTGAGTCCAGGCATTTGGGACCAGCCTGGCCAACATGGTGAAACTTGTCTCTACTAAAAATACAGAAATTAGCCAAGAGTGGTGGCATGTACCTGTAGTCCCAGCTACTTGGGAGGCTGAGGCATGAGAATCGCTTGAACCTGGGAGACGGAGGTTGCAGTGAGCAGAGATCACGCCACTGCACTCCAGCCTGGGTGACAGAGCAAGACCCTGTCTCGAAAGAAAGAGAAGGAAGGAAGGAATGAATGAAGGAAGGAAGGAAGGAAGGAGAGAGAAAGAGAAAGAAAGGAAGAAAGAGAGGAAGAAAGAGGGAGAGAGGGAGAAAAGAAAGAGAAGGAAAGAGAAAGAAAAAGAAAGAAAGAAAGAAAGACCAAAGAAAGAAGGAAAGAAAGAGAGAAATAGAGAAAGGAAAGAAAGAAACATAAAAATGCTCAGCTATCCAAAATGCAGGCTTCTGATTGTCTCATGTATGACAAATTTCTGGTCCTCACAGCACTCTGCAATTCCTTGTGCAGCCTGTGAATGTTACCCTCTGGCCTCCCACTCCATCTCTGCTCTCTGGTCTTGATTGTTCTTTGAATACATATTTTTCTTACCTTGATTTCACATTTATTTGTGTTCTTCCTGTTTTATTGTGATCCTGTGGGTAAGTTCCCATTTGAGGAGTGAAGCAGAGTATAAATCAGTGGTGTGCTGGAGCTGGCTCATCCTGGCCCACAAGAGATTGTGCAGTTCTTCCCAATTCTGAGCTGAGTGGAGTGACACTGGTAGCTTAAAATATGCTGTAGTGGAAATATTTACACCACAGCAATTGTCAAACACTGCAAATCAGCACTTTTCCTTCGGAGAGCCTGTTATTAAGTGTTGGATAACATACCACTGGTAAAAATGGACAAATAAAAAATACTTATGGAAGCCACAAAAGGTTTGGATAATATAGTCAATTTGCTGAGGTTCTTTATTTTAGAATTCTCAGCCTCTCTCCATATGTGGGCTACATAATAAATACCAGCATCTAAGAATTACTCCCTAAATTACTTTATTATTTCATTTGCAAGATCAAGAGAGAATAACGAAAGTGGACACTGAGTTTTTACTGTGTGCTAGGCTCAAGGCTGAATGTTTAAAATGCATGATGTCATTTAATCTGTTCTACAATCCCATGGCCATATTATATTCATCTTATAAGTGAGGGATCTGGAGCTCCATGATCTTAGCTATTTGCCCCAGCACATGTAGTGAGTGACAGATTTAAGACTCTAACCCAGGTTGGTTAGATTCTGGAGTTCATGCCTATAATCTCAAGGCTCTGTGTAAACAGCTTTCGAGGGCTCTCAATTCCACATACCTGTCCTCAGCTTCCTTAGTTGACTAACAAAGAGAAAGACTGTCTGTCAAGTGAGTCTCTGTGCCTTTCACGTAGGGGTATGGATTTACCTTTGTCTTGAAATTCCAAAAACACATCACCTTAGGATCTGCAGAACAAGGGCCTGAGTAGTCACATAAAGAGAATATGTTAATTAGGTAACAGGGAAGCTTATTTTCTCAGAGAGAGAAAGAGTAAAAGAACAAGGAGAAAGAGAGACAGAGACAGAGATCATAGTAAGGATGGTGGTAAAGAGAAGAGAAAATAGGCGGTTTGGAAAAGCGAAAATCTGACATCGGTGAAACAGGCATGTATGGTGATTAGGGAGAGGAGACTTAATTTTCATTGATCAATATACATATTTTTTTCTTTTAGAGAGACCTTTTCTTTCCCCTGAGGAATTGTGTTTATTACCCCCATGGCCACAGCCATGGCCTTGGTCTGGACCTGGACTTGGGCCTGGGCTCTGGGACATTCCACAGCCTGGGAAATGCACTGGTTCATGGAGGAGAACTTGAAAAGGGACACGGAGGAACATGTGGCTTTGGACATGGAGTGGCCCATGGACTAAGCCACATCCATGGAGATGGCTACGGAGTGAATCATGGCGGGCATCATGGACATGGAGGAGGCCACTGAGGAGATCATGGAGTGGATCACAGAGGAAGCCACCAAGGAGGCCATGGCAGGACAAGATGGCTGTGGCCATAGATTGGGTATCAAAACATATTATGGGTGGGAGGGGGTCACTGAGGAGAAAAAAATAATGATAATGAAATAATTAAAATGGAGCATCGGAAGGTTCCCAGGATGTGATCTGTGGAGATGGACATGGACTAGGTCAAGAAAAGAAACAGCAAAAGGACACAGAGACTTTGACCGGCTTGGAGGTGACTTCGAGTCAAAGCTTCTGTGAGTTTTTCCTGAGTCTCCGCCTCTGTTGTGGGGAGTCACGACGACCACCCTCAGGACATCTTCTCTCCCATTTCCCGCCACGTCAGGGTCAACGTTTCTCATCCCTGTTTCCTCATGGTGCTATAAATATTACCAGGACATGTCTAAGAAACAAAAGCACGTAATGAATGTATTATCAGGGCCACACACTTATTTGTTTTCCTGTTTGTTCTTTCAGTTTTGTGTTTTTTTTTCGAGTGCTTATTATGTACCAATCACTATCCCGGGAACCTTTAAATATGTCATCATTTGGCTGGGTGCGGTGGCTTATGCCTGTAATCCCAGCACTTTGAGAGGCCAATGCGGGGGGATCACTTGAGGTCAGGAGTTCAAGACCAGCCTGGCCAACATGGTGAAACCCCACCTCTACTAAAAAATACAAAAATTAGCTGGGCGTGGTGGCGAGTGCCTGTAATCTCAGCTACTTGGGATGCTGAGGCAGGAGAATCGGTTGAATCTGGGAGGTGGAGGTTGCAGTGAGCCAAGATTGTGCCACTGCACTCCAGCCTGGGCAACAGAGGAAGACTGTCTCAAAAAAAAAAAAAAAAAAGATCATCATTTAATCCTCAGAAAATATCTTGGTGATCTTGAGGTAGGCAAAGATACTTAGATACTTAAGCAAGACACAAAAAGCACTAGCTATTAAAGGGAAGTGTGAGGATGTGGACTTCATTAAAGCCTAGTATCAACATATACCTTTAAGAGGTATATTCTTAACTATAAAAGGAAAGTCAAAGATGGGAGAAGATTTTGCAACACATATAACTAACAAACGACTCATATCCAGAATGCAGAAAGAACTACAATAAGAAAAAGACGATGTAATTTTTAAATGGGCAAAATATTTGATAAATAGTTAACAAAAGAGGATATCAAAACAGCCGGTGAACATTTGAAAAGGTACCCCATATCACTGCTTATCAGAGAAGTGGAATGTAAAACCGCAATGAGATATCACTACATACACACACAGTAATGACTAGCATTTAAAAGACTGTCAATACCAAGTATTGGAAAGGACATTGAACAACTGGAACTCTCACACATTGTTAGTGGGACTGTAAATTGATACGATTATCTTGGGAAAATGTTTGGCAATGCTAAAATTAAACACACATACCCTATGACTCGGTATTTCCACTCCTGAGAGTAAATATCCAGCAGAAATGAATGCCTGTGTCCACCAAAAGACATGTACCATGCCAGCTTCCTTCACACCACTGCAGGGTGGAAATTGACCCCCAAAGTCCACTAACATTAGAATGGATAAGTAAATTGTGACATATTCATATAGCAGAATGCTACCCAGTAGTGAAAAACCCCTATGAAATCATGCAGTAACATTAATGAATCTCATAGTCAATGTTGAGTAAAAGAAGTCAAAACAAAAGTACCTACTGTATAATTCCATTCACATACAGTTCAAGAACATGTGACATAAACCTGTTGTAATAAAGGTCACAGTTGAGGATGCCTTTTGGGGAAAAGGCTGACCGAGAGAAAGCATGAGAAAGCCTGCTTGCAGGGACAGACAGGGGAAGCTGAGAATGTTCTATATATGATCTGGGTGGTGATTACAAGGGTGTATAGATATGTAAAACTTCATTAAAATGTGCACATGAGATCTGTGCACTTTATGGTATGTAAGTTATGCCTCAGTTTGAAAATGAAAAAGATATTCTGAAGCTATTTTCTCAGCATATTATGATATCCTTGGTTGGAGACTGTGGTTGGAGACACATGATGGTAAATGAGGCATTCGGTAAGCCCAGAGACAGTGGTGCTGCAGGAAGCATTGTGTGCAAGGGAGGCAAGTAACTATTTTCAATGAGGACAAATCACCTCTCCCTTTAGGTTGAAAGAGGTCTGATGTAATTAATCTGCCATTCTCTCTGGAGAATGGTGCCACATAATGAGGCCAACATTGATCTCCACTGTTAGCAGTCAAGGCACTCAGCCACAGAGTATCTGTCCAGCTTGGCCTTGGTGAGGGGAAGGCGAACTCACTGAGCCTTGCATACCCTTCCCCTTCATCCCTGCCACCATGTCTGCTTTGTCCACGTCCCTACTGAGTGAGCACTAGAGCAGCTGGAAAAAGAGATTGACTGACGTCTGTAGAATGGATCACCTGGTCAACCTGATCATGGAAGATTTCCTCTGCAGTGAATGCCCATTGGTGAACAGTCACATGGGACACACATACTCTCACCATCTGTGCCCTTCCCAAGAGACTCATCCACCTTCCTCTTCCTTGTCATCAACTCACTATATCTTTCCACACCCCGAGTTATCTAGCCAAACTGTTAGTCACTGTCTATTGATCAGGGTTAATGTAACTCTGGTCATCTCTTTGTCCACGCAAAGTAAACAAAGCAGATGCATTCTTTACAATTCAAATCACTGGGAGGATTTTCCTTCCCCACTGTCCTGCAGGGCTGCCCTGAGCGGGGCAGTAATGCTGCAGCAGCCTACTCTCTGTGGTGTTAGAATAGCAGGCAGAACCACCCACACACCAGAGGAAACCAAATCTTTCCTTTCTCAGTCAACTAGACATAGGAAACCCTTCAAGTGACTATGATTATGGAGGGAGAGGTTAGGAATGTAGCTAGAGATGCCATTGGAGTTACAGCTGCCTACTCATGCCTCTTACTTGTGCCTTGAGGACCTAACTTGGCCAAATTCACAGGCACCACTTCCATTCAAGGAGGTGAGCACTGCTAAGTATGCCCAATCACACCCAGTTCATAAAGGGCAGCTCATGTTTCATGAACTCTTGCATGCTGAGAACCCAAGATCAAGTCAGATGCCAGGATGTGGAAGAGGGCATGCTTTTGCTCCAAAACTCTGGGCACCTGTGCCGTGGTTCTACTACTAGCTACCCAGTGTCTCCACACAGCTTTCTGACGTACCACAGACGTTTTAGGCAACATTGGATCTATTCAGCAATGTCTCAAGCATCCTTATGGCCTTGCTTTGGTTCCCACTTGAAAGTGGGGAAATACGCGTGGATGGAGCCTGGAGATGAACTTGGAGTAAGATGTCATTTATGTTCTTTTTCTTTCTTTTTTTTTGAGACGGAGTCTTGCTCCATCGCCCAGGCTGGAATACAGTGGCGTGATCTTGGCTCACTGCAACCTCCGCCTCCCGCCTCCAGGGTTCAAGCGATTCTCCTGCAATTCTCCTATCTCAGCCTCTAGAGTAGGTGGGACTAAAGGCATCTGCCACCATGCCTGGCTAATTTTCGTATCTTTAGTAGAGCCAGGGTTTCATCTTGTTGGTCAGGCTAGTCTCAAACTCCTGACCTCAAGTGATCCACCTGCCTTGGCCCCTCAAAGTGCTAGGATTATAGGCGTGAGCCACTGCGCCCTGCCACGTCATTTGTGTTCTAACCCCTATAAGCTCCACCCTGACTTGTAGATCACAATGATATCTTGTATATTACCCTAAAGGTTTGGGTATTTTCATTTTCCCCATTGCACTGTCACGATGATAAATGGCTGAGATTCCTTTTGAAAGCTAGGAGGAAGATTCGTGGCACATCCTTGTGCTGGTGGTGGATCTTGCTGCCTTGCCTTCATTTCTAGGTCTGTGAACAGGTTTGGGTCTGGGAATTAGGTGAGAATCTGAGACTCTCCACTGTGGCAACTCAAGTCAGCTCTCTGTTCAACCACCTAGACATTTTCACTTATGCAGATCAAGTAAGATTTTAGTGGGCTGAATATACATTTCATTCCTAGTAACACCATGATTAATTAGCCATGGCCAAAGATCCCTGATTATAGCTCTGGTCGTGATGCCCACATCAATAATCATGCCTGTCTTTTCTCTGGAGGGGAAGCCCTACCACCCACCTACTATTTCCTGAAGATTCCACCATGCCCACTAAAATCAGGAAACTCATTTCACTGGTCATATCATCCACCATCGCATTTAGCAAAGTGCTGCTACAGAGCTTTTCAATGATGCTGGTCCTCTCCTTTCTAATGCCTTGATGAAAACAGTTTCAATGGAACCTTCTGGGAAGACATAATGAAGGAGTGGGTGAGCAAGTTGCACATATTAAATCCATTCCAACATAACTCTCTTCCTAAGTCTTTTGATTTTTTTCTTCCAATTATACTAATGAAATACTGGGATCTCAACTTCATTTAGTGTAGGCCACCAGTAAGTCCACATTTCAAGCAACCAAAAGAACTGTTAGGGCAACTCACACCTACTTGAGCTAATAATTGAATCTAGAACATGCATTAAGTTCACCCATGTGTTTGTTTTCTATCAGTGATAACTTACTACAAATGTACCAGCTTAAACCAACACCCATTTATCAGACCACAGTTCTGAGGCAGGTCTGGGACCAGCATGACTGGCTCCTTTGCTCAGTCTCACAGGTTAAAATAAAGATGTTAGTTGAGCTGCATCCTCATCTGGAGGCCGGCATCTCTTTCAAGCTCACGTGGTTGTGGCAGAGTCCAGTTTCTTGTGTTTAGAGTTGAGGCCCCTGTTTCCTTGCTCACTGTCAGCTGCGGTTGCTCTCAGCCCCTAGATCTGACTCGATACACGGAGCTGGAGGCCACAAGGGGCATTGTAATAGTGCCTATGGTAGGCAGAATAACAGCCTCTCAAAAACATCCATGTTTTAATTCCCAGAACCTGGAAATATGTTACTTTATATGGTAAAAGGGACTTTGCATGCATGATTGCATTAAGGATCTTGTAATGGGGAGATTATCTTGGATTATCTGTGTGGCCCCAATGTGATCACAAAGGTCCTTATAAGAGGGAGATGAGAGGC